TACCGATGTCGATATTAGTTTCTTTATTCCAGGAGTATACATTTAAGGGCGTGTCACGACACCTGGTGTCCGATCTACCGATGTCGATATTAGTTTCTTTATTCCAGGAGTATACATTTAAGGTCGTCACGACACCTGGTGTCAGATCTACCGATGTCGATATTAGTTTATTTATTCCAGGAGTATACATTTAAGGGCGTGTCACGACACCTGGTGTCAGATCTACCGATGTCGATATTAGTTTCTTTATTCCAGTAGTACACAACACACTGACACGTTTCAATTCAAATTTCAAATTTTACCCCGACCACATTCACGTGCATATAATGAAAAACGCTGGCAGGTAATCGGCATGTATGCACGAATTTCATAAAACGTTGTTAATGTAATAATCATTTCCTAAATCCGTATACAATCATGAAACTTGGTCCCAAAATAATATCTCACCTCAAAATGAAATACCCACCCAATCCCACCCTTTAAAAAATAGTGAATAGTACGCTTGTCTGTCGGCCACAGATCATTACATGTTGTGTCTAAAGTCGGCGTTGTCTGTTGCGTAAATGTGAACTGTGACTCAAACTGGTGAGATTTCATTTGATGTCAACCGTTTACGATGGTTCAAAAATTCAAATACACATATTTCAAATTCTGTCAAGGGGGGCAACTCTTGTTGTGTTATACGTTGAAACGTGTGCTGCACGCTCATTAAGCCGCTGGCAGAAGACAAACACGCATGCGTCATTAAGTGGGTCAGTTTACATAAACACTCGACCGGTACCTCTCACGCCTAGATTTATCTACAAAGATTCATGCTGGTTTATTATTTCTTATTTACACTGTGTACCCAAATAAAGTTGTTTAACAAACGATCGGTATTTCGATGTCAATTTCGCTATTTTACGAGGGTAGACGACTTGCTGGTAGAACAACCAGGTGTGCGAGTTAACGTGTGAAATTGAAATATCACTACGCACGCTTGTTGATTACCCGGCTGTTCTACCAGCAAGTTGTCTACCCTCGTTAAAAATAGCGGAAAGCGACAACAAAATAATGATCGTTTGTTAAACAACTTATTTTAATCGGATGTCTAAAATTATAAGACAAATCATTAGAGTTGGTCTGTCGATTTCATGTGACTGTGCAAAATTTGGTTTTGTTGAAATTATTAGATTTTGTGTTAGTGAGCAATTCACCGATTTCAAATGAAATAAAACGGACTCTCACCGCCTGTTGATATCATCCAAGTTTCATGTCCCCAGTGTCAGCGTGTCAACGCTGGCCGGTAATGTCGCAAAATACAAAAACACTGTTGTAATATTAGTCCATGTATGCATTGCAAAGACACGACTACTTTGAAATCAATAAATGTTTCTGTGGCTAGTGTTCGTTTGAGATGGTAGTAACTTAATAAATACAGTTGAAGCTGTCTAAACTGGCACTCGTCGGGACTAAAGAAATAATCCGGTTTAGACAGCATGCCAGATTGTACAGATGACACGGTAACCTCCGACTAGAAGTGAACCAGTTTTGTGAGTCTCATACACATTGGTCTATCACAATAAAACATGTCAACTCACTCAGATTAAAATGTTTTTGTCAGCAACCATGTCGTTTCAACGCAAGATTAACTGGTGACAATACACATCCAGCCGAATCCTCGCCATGCGCCGGATTAGACAGCGCTGATTACAGCATAAACCCACATTCGGGCGGCTCATTTCATGCCGAGATCCAGAATAGACAACTGCCGGATTGCAGAGCTTTTAAATTATGATAATTGCACTAGCCACGGACGGGACTGGGTTTTTATACCGGTGTTGACAACTTGCCGGATTGCACAACTGCCGGTTTTGACAGCTTCCACTGTAGTCAACAATGGGTTCTCTCCAGTCTTTACTAAATCCAGTCCAGGGTATAGCTTTGACACATACTTCCTTGTCACACATGATGAACAGTGTGCGACAGTTGAGGTGACTGCCACACCATGTGAGAGTCTAACTACCATTGCCAGAGGGTATGTGGGAGTAGAGGTGACTGCCACACCATGTGAGAGTCTAACTACCATTGCCACATGGTGTGTGAGAGTAGAGGTGACTGCCACACCATGTGAGAGTCTTACTACCATTGCCACAGGGTATGTGGGAGTAGAGGTGACTTCACACTATGTGAGAGTCTAACTACTATTGCCACACGGTGTGTGAGAATAGAGGTGACTGCCCCACTGTGTGAGAGTCTAACTACCATTGCCACACGGTGTGTGAGAGTAGAGGTGACTGCCACACTATGTGAGAGTCTAACTACCATTGCCACATGGTGTGTGAGAGTGGAGGTGACTGCCACACTATGTGAGAGTCTAACTACCATTGCCACACAGTGTGTGAGAGTGGAGGTGACTGCCACACTATGTGAGAGTTGAACTACCATTGCCACACACTGTGTGAGAGTAGAGGTGCATGCCACACTGTGTGAGAGTGTAACTACTATTTCCACACAGTGTGTGAGAGTAGAGGTGCATGCCACACTATGTGAGAGTGTAACTACTATTTCCACACAGTGTGTGAGAGTAGAGGTGACTGTCACACTGTGTGAGAGTCTAACTAACATTGCCACATGGTGTGTGAGAGTGGAGGTGACTGCCACACTATGTGAGAGTCTCACTACCATTGCCACACAGTGCGTGAGAGTAGAGATGACTTCCACACTGTGTGAGAGTCTAACTACCATTGCCACACGGTATGTGAGAGTAGAGGTGACTGCCACACTGTGTGAGAGTCTAACTAACATTGCCACACGGTGTGTGAGAGTAGAGGTGACCTCCACACTATGTTAGAGTCAAACTGCCATTGCCACACAGTGTGGTTCTGGACACGTCCAAAATTCTTCCAAGCCCTGCGGACAAACATGTAGATAACCCGGAATTTCAGAGCTCTAATGAACTACACGATACTGAAACAGGCCAAATGTTCAAATATGTACATGCAATTGTGTGACAACTGATATGCTTGTGGAATATCAAAATGAAAAATGAGACTCAATAAATATTTGATATCGGGATCTATTTTTAGCAAAACTAGAAAATATATATATAACAACATTGTAAAAATAGTTACCCTTAGATAAAACTAGCATCCTACCTCAGGTATAAGGCCTGCCAACGTATTATGTACTGAATACCGCCGGGGACAGGTATAAGGCCTTCCACTATATTGTGTACTGAATACCACCGGGGACAGGTATAAGGCCTGCCAACATATTTTATACTGAATACTGCCGGGGACAGGTATAAGGCCTGCCAACATATTGTATACTGAATACTGCCTGGGGCAGGTATAAGGCCTGCCAACATATTGTATACTGAATACCACCGGGGACAGGTATCCAGCCTGCCAACATATTGTGTACTGAATACCGCCGGGAACAGGTATAAGGCCTGCCAACATATTGTGTACTGAATACTGCCGGGGACAGGTATAAGGCCTGCCAACATATTGTATAATGAATACCACCGGGGACAGGTATCCGGCCTGCCAACATATTGTGTACTGAATACCACCGGGGACAGGTATCCGGCCTGCCAACATACTGAATACTGAATACTGCCGGGGACAGGTATAAGGCCTGCCAACATATTGTATACTGAATACTGCCGGGGACAGGTATAAGGCCTGCCAACATATTGTGTACTGAATACCGCTGGGGACAGGTATAAGGCCTGCCAACATATTGTGTACTGAATACCACCGGGAACAGGTATAAGGCCTGCCGACATATTGTATACTGAATACCGCCGGGGACAGGTATCCGGCCTGCCAACGTATTGTATACTGAATACTGCCGGGGACAGGTATAAGGCCTGCCAACATATTGTGTACTGAATACCGCTGGGGACAGGTATCCGCCCTGTCAACATATTGTATACTGAATACTGCCGGGGACAGGTATAAGGCCTGCCAACATATTGTGTACTGAATACCGCCGGGGACAGGTATCCGGCCTGCCAACGTATTGTATACTGAATACTGCCGGGGACAGGTATAAGGCCTGCCAACATATTGTGTACTGAATACCGCTGGGGACAGGTATCCGGCCTGCCAACATATTGTATACTGAATACTGCCGGGGACAGGTATAAGGCCTGCCAACATATTGTGTACTGAATACCACCGGGAACAGGTACATAAGGCCTGCCAACATATTGTATACCGAATACCGCCGGGGACAGGTATAAGGCCTGCCAACATATTGTGTACTGAATACCGCCGGTGACAGGTATAAGGCCTGCCAACATATTGTGTACTGAATACCGCCGGGGACAGGTATCCGGCCTGCCAACATATTGTGTACTGAATACCACCGGCGACAGGTATCCGGCCTGCCAACATATTGTGTGCTGAATACCACCGGAATTACACAGCTGTACTGGTTAGATCGGGGCTGATATCCTGACGTAACTCGTGCGTCACAAACTTGGAAATTCCTATTCCCCGAGAGTTTGGTATTTATAGGTCCATGTAATGGAGGAGTGGCACAGTACGGGAGAGCTAGGCTGACGACTGTATTTCATTGTTCTGCATTAAGCCAGGGCATATCGACCGTATTTTGTTCAGCTTTCCGTTGTGGTATCAGATACCAAGCCTGAACAGAAAATGCATACCGTTTACAGGTTTACACAACCGTCGTTGATAATGACAACACTGTTTCGCTATAACCCTGTTTTCTTCATATGTCACAACTGCTGTGAAGATCATCACAGTCAAGTGTTTCTGTTACAATGTCAGTAAGTTAAAAACGACCCAAAGATATGTAGTTGACGGACAATACATCTTGGGTCTTTCCGCGACCTCTTATTTTGAAATGCAGTTCGGTTATTTTTGTGTGAAGAATGTCTCACTCTGATCACGTGTGTATCGCTGACTTGTGAATATAATCTCACGCAAATAGCTGGTATTCCCTTAACAAAACCCTCCCCAGTCTGTGCCCTGATAGGTCACTTCAGATACTAGACAGGAAAACCTAGGACAGACGTGCATTCGTCGAGTGTATTATTGTAGCTGACGCGGGACAGGGGGCGGTACAACCTGAGCAGTGCGGTGGTTGCTGCGACGAGAACACAGCGCACAGTCATTGGCTGGCTGCAAACATAGATCTAACATTCACACAACAGAGCCCAACTCGCACACGGAAGACTAATCGCCCGTTGAACATGGCGGTTGATCTTCAAAATGCACAATCTACCCTCGGGTCATTCAAGATCCACGAGAAATCAGGTATTGGGGAACCTTATAGCATTGAAAATGGGGGTCTGTATCCTAAATTCACTAGGAGTGAACACAAAGACGGGGACGACTCCGGCGCCAGCTCGAGTAACTCCGACAACAACGTCGACAGTGCGGTATCTACAGGATCTGATAGTTCATCTGACAACAACGTCGACAGTGGGGTATCTACAGGATCTGATAGTTCATCAGACAGTAAAGATTCTAGTGACAGTACCACACCTCTGTTGGACAATGGTCATACTCAGGAACCACCCACGGATGAAACTGTGAATTCATGTAGGGTGGTCGAGAATAGGGATCTAGATCTACCCATTTTCCCCGAGGACACTTACCCCCTTAATGGTGTTATTGTAGACGGACGTGGACCTACTACTCCCAACAAGGTACCCATACATGTTGAGGTACAGAATGGTGCGGCAAAGGTTTACATGCACGAGAGCGAAGAAGTTGGACTTAACGAGGACCACTGCGAAAAACCCTCACTGAAAAATGATTCTTTTTGGAAAAAAATTGTCATCATATTTTCCACATTGGACATCTTACTTTTTATTACAATATTAGTCGTAAGTTGCGGCATTCCAACCCGGAGTCCAGCGTCAGTCTCCCGAGGGGACAACTGCCTGGAGTGTAAGGATGTGTATCTTACTGAAGATGACAGACATGATAACATTTACAACTTCCATATGGACGACGGGGGAAACTTGTGCTGCTCCGAGAACCAGACGTTTCTCATCCAGAAGGTAATTATGTCAGGGACCAGGTGCCAGGCTTCATCTACAGACTGTGGTTAATACCCGGCTGGTGGGACCTAGTATCACATGGCGACCTAGTATCACATGGCGACCTAGTATCACACGGACCGACCTAGTATCACATGGCGACCTAGTATCACACGGACCGACCTAGTATCACATGGCGACCTAGTATCACATGGCGACCTAGTATCACATGGCGACCTAGTATCACACGGACCGACCTAGTATCACATGGCGACCTAGTATCACATGGCGACCTAGTATCAAATGGCGACCTAGTATCACACGGACAGACCTAGTATCACATGGCGACCTAGTATCACACGGTGACCTAGTATCACATGGCGACCTAGTATCACATGGCGACCTAGTATCACACGGACCGACCTAGTATCACATGGCGACCTAGTATCACATGGCGACATAGTATCACATGGCGACATAGTATCACATGGCGACATAGTATCACATGGCGACCTAGTATCACGGACCGACCTAGTATCACATTGCGACCTAGTATCACATGGCGACCTAGTATCACATGGCGACCTAGTATCACATGGCGACCTAGTATCACATGGCGACCTAGTATCACATGGCGACCAAGTATCACACTGCGACCTAGTATCACATGGCGACCTAGTATCACATGGCGACCAAGTATCATAGGGCGACCTAGTATCACATGGCGACCTAGTATCACATGGACCGACCTAGTATCACATGGCGACCTAGTATCACACGGACCGACCTAGTATCACATGGCGACCTAGTATCACACGGTGACCTAGTATCACATGGCGACCTAGTATCACATGGCGACATAGTATCACATGGCGACCTAGTATCACATGGCGACCTAGTATCACACGGACCGACCTAGTATCACATGGCGACCTAGTATCACACGGACCGACCTAGTATCACATGGCGACCTAGTATCACATGGCGACCTAGTATCACATGGCGACCTAGTATCACATGGCGACCAAGTATCACACTGCGACTTAGTATCACACGGCGACCTAGTATCACACTGCGACCTAGTATCACGCGGACCGACCTAGTATCACACTGCGACCTAGTATCACATGGCGACCTAGTATCACATGGCGACCAAGTATCACAGGGCGACCTAGTATCACACGGCGACCTAGTATCACACGGACCGACCTAGTATCACATGGCGACCTAGTATCACATGGCGACATAGTATCACATGGCGACATAGTATCACATGGCGACATAGTATCACACGGACCGACCTAGTATCACATTGCGACCTAGTATCACATGGCGACCTAGTATCACATGGCGACCTAGTATCACACGGCGACCTAGTATCACACGGCGACCTAGTATCACATGGCGACCTAGTATCACACTGCGACCTAGTATCACATGGCGACCTAGTATCACATGGCGACCAAGTATCACAGGGCGACCTAGTATCACATGGCGACCTAGTATCACATGGACCGACCTAGTATCACATGGCGACCTAGTATCACACGGACCGACCTAGTATCACATGGCGACCTAGTATCACACGGTGACCTAGTATCACATGGCGACCTAGTATCACATGGCGACCTAGTATCACATGGCGACCTAGTATCACATGGCGACCTAGTATCACACGGACCGACCTAGTATCACATGGCGACCTAGTATCACACGGACCGACCTAGTATCACATGGCGACCTAGTATCACATTGCGACCTAGTATCACATGGCGACCTAGTATCACATGGCGACCAAGTATCACACTGCGACTTAGTATCACACGGCGACCTAGTATCACACTGCGACCTAGTATCACGCGGACCGACCTAGTATCACACTGCGACCTAGTATCACATGGCGACCTAGTATCACATGGCGACCAAGTATCACAGGGCGACCTAGTATCACACGGCGACCTAGTATCACACGGCGACCAAGTACCACACGCCGACCAAGTATCACACGGCGACTCATGCAGAAGGTAGTTATGTCTGTGTCAGGGGCCAGGTGCCAGCCTTCATGCAGACTGTGGTTGATGCCCAGCTGAAGGGGCCTAGTTTGTCATGGTGACATAACAGCTCACACTAATCCTAACCCAATCATTCAGTGACTAGTACTTATTTATTTGACACAACTCTTGATGCTACGGCTGCACCTGATGGATGTGTTATCTATGTTTCAGTACGGCTGTAGCTGATGAATGTGTTATCAATGTTTCAGTAAGGCTGTAGCTGATGAATGTGTTATCAATGTTTCAGTAAGGCTGTAGCTGATGAATGTGTTATCTATGTTTCAGTACGGCTGTAGCTGATGAATGTGTTATCAATGTTTCAGTAAGGCTGTAGCTGATGAATGTGTTATCAATGTTTCAGTACGGCTGTAGCTGATGAATGTGTTATCAATGTTTCAGTAAGGCTGTAGCTGATGAATGTGTTATCTATGTTTCAGTAAGGCTGTAGCTGATGAATGTGTTATCTATGTTTCAGTACGTCCTGATGAATGTGTTATATATGTTTCAGTACGTCCTGATGAATGTGTTATCTATGCTTCAGTACGTCCTGATGAATATGTTATCTATGTTTCAGTACGTCCTGATGAATGTGTTATCTATGTTTCAGTACGTCCTGATGAATGTGTTATCTATGTTTCAGTACGTCCTGATGAATGTGTTATCTATGTTTCAGTACGTCCTGATGAATGTGTTATCTATGTTTCAGTACGTCCTGATGAATGTGTTATCTATGTTTCAGTACGACCTGATTGATGTGTTATCTATGTTTCAGTACGTCCTGATGAATGTGTTATCTATGTTTCAGTATGTCCTGAAGAATGTGTTATCTATGTTTCAGTACGACCTGATTGATGTGTTATCTATGTTTCAGTACGTCCTGATGAATGTGTTATCTATGTTTCAGTACTTCCTGAAGCGATACAAGCAGGACCTTGCAGTTGGTGAGTCACGTCAACACTTTATTCTGCTATAACAACCAACGCCTTACTGTGTAATATTCCGCTTATCAATGATTCAGAATAGATACTTACAAAAGTCATGATGTAATGTGTTTTTATCGGTGGCGTTGTAAATATTTAATATTTTGGAGATATCATCTGTCAATCTCATTGATCCATTTACGCAAATAAACTACAACATTCTGTTCTGTGATCTCTTAGACGATTTTCTGTCGATACCTTTACACTTAACGTCCAAACCAACCGATAATGTCGCTAATGACTGGTCGTACTAGTTATATAGAGACAATACAGGAAGTTATGGTATGGAAGACATTTCAGTCATATAATTAGTCAGGAATGTTGCTATATGTGCGGTCAGTCTGAAACTTACTTTATAAATTGTTTCTGTTGTTTACAAAGTTATTTTATTTTCACATAATGTCCCAGCATCTGCAGCGAGATACAAAGAGATGCCCAAGAGAACCGCTGTTCATGTCGACCTTGACATTCAAGACAAGAACTCTACATCAGGTAGGTTGTGTCAACCTTGACAATCAAGACACGAACTCTATATCAGGTAGGTTGTGTCGACCTTGACAATCAAGACACGAACTCTACATCAGGTAGGTTGTGTCAACCTTGACAATCAAGACACGAACTCTATATCAGGTAGGTTGTGTCGACCTTGACAATCAAGACACGAACTCTATATCAGGTAGGTTGTGTCGACCTTGACAATCAAAACACGAACTCTATATCAGGTAGGTTGTGTCGACCTTGACAATCAAGACACGAACTCTATATCAGGTAGGTTGTGTTGACCTTGACAATCAAAACACGAACTCTATATCAGGTAGGTTGTGTCGACCTTGACAATCAAGACACGAACTCTATATCAGGTAGGTTGTGTCGACCTTGACAATCAAAACACGAACTCTATATCAGGTAGGTTGTGTCGACCTTGACAATCAAGACACGAACTCTATATCAGGTAGGTTGTGTTGACCTTGACAATCAAGACACGAACTCTATATCAGGTAGGTTGTGTCGACCTTGACAATCAAGACACGAACTCTATATCAGGTAGGTTGTGTCGACCTTGACAATCAAGACACGAACTCTATATCAGGTAGGTTGTGTCGACCTTGACAATCAAGACACGAACTCTATATCAGGTAGGTTGTGTCGACCTTGACAATCAAGACACGAACTCTATATCAGGTAGGTTGTGTCGACCTTGACAATCAAGACACGAACTCTTGGTTACTGACAAGTGGCTGTGATAGTCTTGGTTACTGACAAGTGGCTGTGATAGTCTTGGTTACTGACAAGTGGCTGTGGTAGTCTTGGTTACTGACAAGTGGCTGTGATAGTCTTGGTTACTGACAAGTGGCTGTGGTAGTCTTGGTTACTGACAAGTGGCTGTGATAGTCTTGGTTACTGACAAGTGGCTGTGATAGTCTTGGTTACTGACAAGTGGCTGTGATAGTCTTGGTTACTGACAAGTGGCTGTGATAGTCTTGGTTACTGACAAGTCTTGGTTACTGACAAGTGGCTGTGATAGTCTTGGTTACTGACAAGTGGCTGTGATAGTCTTGGTTACTGACAAGTGGCTGTGATAGTCTTGGCTACTGACAAGTGGCTGTGATAGTCTTGGTTACTGACAAGTGGCTGTGATAGTCTTGGTTACTGACAGGTGGCTGTGATAGTCTTGGTTACTGACAAGTGGCTGTGATAGTCTTGGTTACTGACAAGTGGCTGTGATAGTCTTGGTTACTGACAAGTGGCTGTGATAGTCTTGGTTACTGACAAGTGGCTGTGATAGTCTTGGTTACTGACAAGTGGCTGTGATAGTCTTGGTTACTGACAAGTGGCTGTGATAGTCTAGGTTACTGACAAGTGGCTGTGATAGTCTTGGTTACTGACAAGTGGCTGTGATAGTCTTGGCTACTGACAAGTGGCTGTGATAGTCTTGGTAACTGACAAGTGGCTGTGATAGTCAGTCAGTAACGACCGGAACATATGTGCTCGTGTAACAACCATTGTGAGTATGTATTGCAGCTTTGTGTGGAGAGTATCAGTGTAAAATCCTTGGAGCTAACATTACTTGCAGGCTCTTACAGTGTTGTCACAACCCCTAGTGTGCAGTACACAACCCTGTGCACTTCAAAGAACCCACTCATCCGACGGTAGGTGACCAGATGGTGGACACATGAACACGTGCAGACACCTAGTTGTGGGTATGGTAACATGCAGTACCATTGGACAAAATACTAATTGGACTATGTGGCCCAGTTCACCCAGTTTGTACCTTGTGAGGATGAGGCTGTGTGAAAACTCGCTGCGCCTAACACGCTGCATGAGTTGAATACTCCCCAGGGAGTTGAGTTGGTTAAAAAAGAATGCCAGTAATTAGACATAGGTTGATGAAGGTAACACTCCAGCGCCTTGAGCATGTACTAGTTGCGTGAATATGTTCGCTATATAAATATCCTATAAAATAAAGGGCTGACCTACCGGGACTTACTGACAGGGAAAGGTTTTTAATAACAGTCATCTCTTCATCCGGTCTTGATAAACCCTACTGAGCTAACTGAAGATTTACTTTCTCCCACAGAGGGTGTAAATCAGGTCCTGAAGTGGAGGGAAAAGGACGCCTTGATGAACGGGCTGACGCTCATCCCGACCGGCAGGCGCATACAGTGTACACGTGCAGGCTTGTACTATATCAACTCTAAAGTCGTGTTCAAGGACACGGAGGCGAGCGCGGCGACGAAGCACCATGTGTTGTTGCTGCAGGTGTATCGATCGCGGGAGGGGCAGGACATGCTGCTGCTGGAGAACAAGTCGTCCCGGTGTGGTGACGCTGACAGAGACTGTAACGTTCCGAGCAGCGTCCAGGGCGTGTTCCAGCTCCAGGAGGGAGACCAGGTGTTTGTGAGTGTGACGAAGCCTTGTGGACTCGTGCTGGAAGACAGATACAACTACTTGGAGATGTACCTGGTGTAATGTGCACCACTGTGTTGGTTATATTGGCTGTTCTTCTTTGTTTAAATAAACATTTAAATCAGTTATACCGTTTTTGTCGCCCTGATTTGTGTACTAAATGTATATTCAAGCGAGTCTGCCGATGAACGACATTAATATAGACTACAGGACAGGAAAAGGATTATACTGGAATCAGAATATATATTTCTGTATAATTTAGAACACAGTCGACACTCTTGAATTCCTCACAACATGCAGAACAGTCCCGATACTTTGTCAATGAACAAACACCAGGTTTCCGGACACTCCATATATGCTCAGATTAATCACACAAGTATGCTTCCTCCCACCCAGATTAATCACACAAGTATGCTTCCTCCCATCCAGATTAATCACACAAGTATGCTTCCTCCCACCTAGATTAATTACACAAGTATGCTTCCTCCAGACCAGATTAATCACACAAGTATGCTTCCTCCAGACCAGATTAATCACACAAGTATGCTTCCTCCCACCTAGATTAATCACACAAGTATGCTTCCTACCACCCAGATTAATTACACAAGTATGCTTCCTCCAGACCAGATTAATCACACAAGTATGCTTCCTCCCACCCAGATTAATCACACAAGTATGCTTCCTCCCACCCAGATTAATCACACAAGTATGCTTCCTCCCACCCAGATTAATCACACAAGTATGCTTCCTCCCACCCAGATTAATCACACAAGTATGCTTTCTCCCAACCATATAAATCACACAAGTATGCTTCCTCCCACCCAGATTAATCACACAAGTATGCTTCCTCCCACCCAGATTAATCACACAAGTATGCTTCCTCCCACCCAGATTAATCACACAAGTATGCTCCCTCCCACCCAGATTAATCACACAAGTATGCTTTCTCCCAACCATATAAATCACACAAGTATGCTTCCTCCCGACCAGATTAATCACACAAGTATGCTTCCTCCCACCCAGATTAATCACACAAGTATGCTTCCTCCCAACCATATTAATCACACAAGTATGCTTCCTCCCGACCCAGATTAATCACACAAGTATGCTTCCTCCCACCCAGATTAATCACACAAGTATGCTTCCTCCCACCTAGATTAATCACACAAGTATGCTTCCTCCCACACAGATTAATCACACAAGTATGCTTCCTCCCACCCAGATTAATCACACAAGTATGCTTCCTCCCACCCAGATTAATCACACAAGTATGCTTCCTCCCACCCAGATTAATCACACAAGTATGCTTCCTCCCACCTAGATTAATCACACAAGTATGCTTCCTCCCATCCAGATTAATCACACAAGTATGCTTCCTCCCACCTAGATTAATCACACAAGTATGCTTCCTCCCACCCAGATTAATCACACAAGTATGCTTCCTCCCACCCAGATTAATCACACAAGTATGCTTCCTCCCATCCAGATTAATCACACAAGTATGCTTCCTCCCACCTAGATTAATCACACAAGTATGCTTCCTCCCAACCATATTAATCACACAAGTATGCTTCCTCCCAACCATATTAATCACACAAGTATGCTTCCTCCCACCCAGATTAATCACACAAGTATGCTTTCTCCCACCCAGATTAATCACACAAGTATATTAATCACACAAGTATATTAATCACATAAGTATGCTTCCTCCCACCCAGATTAATCACACAAGTATGCTTTCTCCCAACCATATTAATCACACAAGTATGCTTCCTCCCACCCAGATTAATCACACAAGTATGCTTCCTCCCGACCAGATTAATCACACAAGTATGCTTCCTCCCACCCAGATTAATCACACAAGTATGCTTCCTCCCACCCAGATTAATCACACAAGTATGCTTCCTCCCACCCAGATTAATCACACAAGTATGCTTCCTCCCACCTAGATTAATCACACAAGTATGCTTCCTCCCAACCAGATTAATCACACAAGTATGCTTCCTCCCACCCAGATTAATCACACAAGTATGCTTCCTCCCACCCAGATTAATCACACAAGTATGCTTCCTCCCACCTAGATTAATCACACAAGTATGCTTCCTCCAGACCAGATTAATCACACAAGTATGCTTCCTCCCACCCAGATTAATCACACAAGTATGCTTCCTCCCACCCAGATTAATCACACAAGTATGCTTTCTCCCAACCATATAAATCACACAAGTATGCTTCCTCCCACCCAGATTAATCACACAAGTATGCTTTCTCCCAACCATATAAATCACACAAGTATGCTTCCTCCCAACAATAATAATCACACAAGACATGTATGCTTCCTCACACCTAGATTAAACACACAAGTATGCTTTCTCTCACCTAGATTAATCACACAAGTATGCTTCCTCGCACCCAGATTAATCACACAAGTATGCTTCCCCCCAACCATATTAATCACACAAGTATGCTTCCTTCGAAGGGGGTTCGGGCCAGCCAACAAGGGGTTTCGGACGAACCCTGTTTGGGCGAGCCTAGTGACAGTATCGTAATAATAATAATAATAATGTGTCCATTTATATAACGCCAAACTCCACGCTAGGTATGCTCATAGCGCTAACAATCAAGGCACAGCACATTTTTACCCCGGATAACCCAAGCTGCCTGTTAGGCGCTAGAAGGTCATATGACTTTTTCCACCGGGTACCCATTTTCCTTCTGGGTGAACAGAGACAATTTTGAACAAACTCACTCGCCTAAGGTAAGACCACATGGGTCACATGTGCTTCGGTGTGGGGCAGGACTCAAGTCCAAGAAACTTTCAGGAGTCAAGCTGCCAAACACGGTCACCCATCCAATGACTCTCCGAGCTCGACGCTGCTTAAGTTTCACCGATTTGTGACCTGAGATTTGAGCAAGAGACCACGCGCCACCACCACAGGACACCGCGCCATCGTACATATATCTTATATCTTATATCAAAACTTTTGATAGTGTTGCCAAAATGGCATTTTCATGAAATACTATTGAAGCAGGCGACTTTAAAGAAAACAACTTCTTGTTTATTGCATAGATAGACGTTTCGGTGTAGATCTTTACACCGTTGCCTAAGCTAAAAACAGGAAGTTGTTATGTATAAAGTCGTATTCGTCATTATTGACCCACCAAATTCTATAATGCCGATTAAACAATTCATGAAATAGATGTTTGTCACAGAAAGGCGGAAGTCCTTGTAGCATCAACACAACGCATTTGTATACAGGTGAGAAACATGTATCACACCATAAACACAACACGTTCCTATACACTTCCTTACAGGTGAAATACATGTACCTGATCATAAACACAACACATATACAAGTGAGATACATGTAGCTGATCATAAACACTACACGTTTCTATACAGGTGATATACAAGTAGCTGATCATAAACACAACACGTTTCTATACAAGTGAGATACCTGTAGCTGATCATAAACACTACACGTTTCTATACAGGTGACATACATGTAGCTGATCATCAACACAACACGTTTCTATACAAGTGAGATACATGTAGCTGATCATAAACACTACACGTTTCTATACAGGTGACATACATGTAGCTGATCATAAACACATCACGTATCTATACAGGAGAGATATATGTACCTGATCATAAACACAACACATTTCTATACAGGTGACATACATGTACCTGATCATAAACACAACACATATACAAGTGAGATACATGTAGCTGATCATAAACACAACACGTTTCTATACAGGTGAGATATATGTACCTGATCATAAACACAACACATTTCTATACAGGTGACATACATGTACCTGATCATAAACACAACACATATACAAGTGAGATACATGTAGCTGATCATAAACACTACACGTTTCTATACAGGTGATATACAAGTAGCTGATCATAAACACTACACGTTTCTATACAGGTGACATACATGTAGCTGATCATAAACACAACACGTTTCTATACAAGTGAGATACATGTAGCTGATCCTAAACACAACACGTTTCTATACAGATGACATACATGTAGCTGATCATAAACACAACACGTTTCTATACAGGTGAGATACATGTACCTGATCATAAACACTACACGTTTCTATACAGGTGACATACATGTACCTGATCATAAACACAACACATTTCTATACAAGTGAGATACATGTACCTGATCATAAACACAACACATATACAAGTGAGATACATGTAGCTGATCATAAACACTACACGTTTCTATACAGGTGATATACAAGTAGCTGATCATAAACACAACAGGTTTCTATACAGGTGACATACATGTAGCTGATCATAAACACAACACGTTTCTATACAGGTGAGATACATGTACCTGATCATAAACACAACACATTTCTATACAGGTGACATACATGTACCTGATCATAAACACAACACATTTTTATACAAGTGAGATACATGTACCTGATCATAAACACAACACGTTTCTATACAAGTGAGATACATGTACCTGATCATAAACACAACACGTTTCTATACAGGTGACATACATGTACCTGATCATAAACACAACACATATACAAGTGAGATACATGTACCTGATCATAAACACAACACATTTCTATACAGGTGACATAACTGTACCTGATCATAAACACAACACATTTCTATACAAGTGAGAAACATGTAGCTGATCATAAACACTACACGTTTCTATACAGGTGACATACATGTACCTGATCATAAACACAACACATTTCTATACAAGTGAGATACATGTAGCTGATCATAAACACTACACGTTTCTATACAGGTGATATACATGTAGCTGATCATAAACACAACACGTTTCCATACAGGTGAGATACATGTAGCTGATCATAAACACAACACGTTTCTATACAGGTGACATACATGTACCTGATCATAAACACAACACATTTCTATACAAGTAAGATACATGTACCTGATCATAAACACAACACATATACAAGTGAGATACATGTAGCTGATCATAATCACTACACGTTTCTATACAGGTGACATACAAGTACCTGATCATCAACACAACACGTTTCTATACAAGTGAGATACATGTACCTGATCATAAACACAACACGTTCCTATA